CTGATTAGAACCCTTAACTGCATCCATGCAAAGAAGCTATCTCAAGGCCACTGATTTAACCTTAATTGCATCTATGACTTTAACTCCCTTTTGTCAGGTAAAGAAACATATTAACTGGTTCCAGGAATTACTTCATGAGCATATTTGGGGAGGGCGTTATTCTGCTTCCCATTGTGGGGGGAATATGGACTCTTAACCTGGGTTTCAAGGTTATGCAGATGGGTGTCAGTGATTTCAGAAGGGGTGTCTATGAATCTTGAAGCTGTACAACCACACTTTTCAGACCCAAGAGTCTGTGACTGTTTTAAGTGGCAACACTGTTTATGTAATTTTCAAGAAGTCTTATTTTTCTTTGAAAAACAATACCTGTTTGAATTTATAAGCATTTTGGTGTTCTTGTTAGAAAAGTAAAATTTTCCTGCCTTACAGTAAGAGTACAGTCAATCTTTTACAACAGTCTACACGAGGAAAATATGCCACAGTGCAGCCACTGTTGCAGCGAAAGCCGGCATCTCTTCTGCACTGTGAAGTACAAGGTCTGTAAGCCAGACCAAGAGATTCTAGATTGTGTGGCTAGATTCAAAATTTGTTCATTCCCACTTAGGTGGCAGCTATAAAATCCAGACGTGGAAAGACCACGGTGCAGCAGCGACAGTAATGAAGACCCAAGGAAGGAGGAGCGCAGTAAGACGAGGCGGAGCAGGAACTGAAAAGGCACAAGTCCTTCTTAATGTTAGGACAGAGGATGAAGCTCCTTGTGCTGCTCAAGAAAGCAAAATAACATCACCCCTCTTTCCTCCGGGGGACAGAGTGGCCGGCAACTAGAGTGCTGTGTGTACTGCATGGAGAATATTGTGTTACAACAGGAAGGAAGAAAGCAAAACTCCCAGTTTCTGTGAAAGCTCCCAACTGCCCCTAATTTTTCTAAAAAGGATTCTTCAAAAGTATCTACCAAGAATTAAAGGTACTAAACTCTGTGATTCTGATTATGGTTATGATAATAAAACAAGGAAGAAATTATGAAGACAAGAGCTCTGTGCAGCCAGATACAGTGGTGAGCACTTGTGTGACTCAGGACTCTGAGACAGAGGATGATAGGTTCAAGGCCAGCTTCACCTAGGCCACTTAGCAAGACCCTGTCTCAAAATACAAAATACAAAAGGGCTGGGATGTGGCTCAGTGGTAAAGTGCCACTGGATTCAATCTCCAGTATCAAATACTTTGTGCAGTATTTGTATAGTAGAAGTATTTCTGCTAATACTCTATTTTAGAAGGTGTTACACTACTAAAGCATAATTTATCACTTAGTAATTGCTATGTTCATGATCAGCTCCACAAATTATTAGACTTTGTTTGGTACTTCCCCTATAGTATTTATATAAAAAAATCAAATTCTATTTTTGGAATATATATCAAAACTAAAATCTACTAAGAAATGTAAGAAATGCAGTAACTACTCTTAGATAATATAAACAGTTAAAAAATCCATTTGATGATAAAAACTAATTGAACAAAAAATGGGGCTGCTTCAAGTTGAATTTATTGTCAAATGTTGAACTAATATTCTAACTTCTGAGTAGTAACACCTTTCCTTCTTTAGACATACACATTCTAAGATGGAGCAGTCAGGCAGAACTGAAAGAGGAGGGAGAAGCTCTTTCCCCTTTAGATCACAGCTAAATAAGTTAAAAAGGTAAAAGGTAGGCTAGTTATATAGATACTAATCTCACTTATACAGTCAAAACTTTAAACACAAAATGTTATCCTTATAAAAATAATTATTAAAAATAAAATTTAGCATATAAAATTATCTAATCCAACTAAAACATTAAAATATTATTTCTAGAAATGGTAATTATTCTAATACGGTCTGGCCAAAATAGTCTCTTCACTTAGCCATGATTAAATGTTTAACTTGAAACGGATCATTTGGCTGTGTGTGGGCGCACACATCTGTAATCCCAGCTATTTTGGAGGCTGAGGCAGGAGAAACTCAGGGTTGAGGCCAGCCTCAGCAAAACCCTGTCTCAAAGTAAAAAATTAAAAGGGCAGGCTGGGGATGTGGCTCAAGTGGTAGCGCGACCGCCTAGCATGCGTGAGGCACTGGGTTCAATTCTCAGCACCACATAAAAATAAAATGGAGATACTATGTTCACCTAAAACTAAAAAATAAATATTAAAAAAAAAAGGCAAAGGGCTGGGATATAGCTCAATGGTAGAGTGCCCGTTGGTGTGATTCCTAAAAAAAGGCTCATTTCAAAGACTTAATATCTGCTTTGACATAATTTTGATCATCGTTGATTTTTTCTGATATACTTATAAAATGTTTAAAAGTATAAATATTACTGTTTGCGTGTAATCTGTTAAAGAATAGATTTACTATTTTAAATTATAAAAGACATACATTAGGATTACAATAAATATAAGGTCACTTTTGCAGGGAAAAATGCTAGAGATGTGTTCATTGTGTACCTCCCCTTCCCTCTAATATCTCAGGATTTTAAAAAATGTTTTATTTTACTTTATATATCATATGACCAGTTGACTCTTAGACATTGTACATAGTCTACAAACTTGAAACTCCAGGTGATCCAACTCAATCTTTCCACAGTTAAAAGAAGGAAATGGGAGGGGGACCCCACAAATAAAATCTCCAAAACAAAACTTGGGGGAAAAAAAAGAATCTGCACTAGGCATAATAAGGATCCCTAATTTTGCATAGCTTACCTCTGGCTGTGAAGCTTTCGGTTCACACTGGATATTGCAGGAAAGTTCCCTTCCTCAGGTAGCCCAGTGGGATACAACATTCAAATGACCTTTGATATTGAATACTCTTTCTTATTTCTTTAAACCAGAAGTGCACTCTCTGCAATTCAAAAGTAGACCTAAGTCAAATTGCCTTACTTTCAATAAAACAATAGCTATTTATTGGAAGTCTCAACTAAAAAAGTTACAGATTTTCAATATGAAAGTGAAAAAAATAAAAACTGACTTTAAAAAAAAACTGCAGATGGCAACTCTTGATGTCATTGTCCTTAAAAAAAAAAAAAAAAGAAGACTTCCATCCTCACATCCAAATGACTTGCATTAGCACTTTTCTTTTTACTCCATTACATAAGGAATCTATATTTATATAGTAGGAAACCAAAATAGTTCAGAGAAAGTTTAAGGAAATGAAGAACCTCTTTCTGTTTATATTCATTGAAGTAAACACTAATTCTGGAAGTAAAGACCTGCGAGGGCACCTGGGTAGAAATGGTAAGGAAATGAGCATAGTCCATGGGGATGAAATGGGCAGACTGTAAAGGAACTAGGAGGTCCCCAGCTCTGGCCCTCTGCAAGGCCTGAGGGGGATGACGTGTTCTGGTTCTAGGTCACTGAAGTGTCTGCCAGTTGCCTTGCTCTTGAGACCAGCACAGACCTTGAAAACACAAAGGTCTCCTCCACTACCTCTGGCCACACCCTCACCTCAGCCAGATCACTTCATCTGCCAAGAAGCCTAGAAAATCCAGTCCTCTTTGATTTTCCTTCTTCATTAAACCTTGAACAGTAAAGTTGAAGGTAGCAATGCTTTTGTTTAACATGTGTTCAAACAAAAGATTATAAAAGAAATCTCTCTTTGGTTAAGGGCGAATATGTGAATACATAAAAAGTCATAAATTTGCTTATCTTTGCAAAGTCGGGAATCAGGAGTACTACAAAAACACAGAGCAAGAAAATTCATTCAAATGACCTGTGAGAGTCTAACATGACAAGCACTTTGAAGGATCTTTGTACAAGTGTGAAAATCCTCAGTTATCCAAGGTGCCTGCCTGTGACTGGGACGCAGCTTTCTATAGTTGTCAAAAACCCAAGGCAGTATTGAGCCACCCTGTATCTTGTCCACTCACTCTCTGGGAGGAAAGCTGGCTGATTAGAGGACAACCACACACATACAGTGAAGTCAAATTTTCTGCATGGTTTTACAAATGACATTCCAATCTGAAAACACCTGGATTCAAATCCAAAACCTGCTTTGGGAGAAGCCTTCACTGGGGAATGGTCAGGTATTTGATACATCTTGGTGTCACCTCTCAGAACACAAACGCTAGCATGGAACCTGCTCAGGTCAGTATTAACACTTATGAATCAGATCACTCCCACACATGCGCTGCCTTCGGAGTCTGTTCACAGTGCCCTGTGCAGGTCATGGCTCCTGTCTGTCCAGGGCACATGCCTTCAGGCCAGTCTTGTCACTGGTTACCAAACACATGAGCACTCTCATTCCTGGTTCCAAATTTCCTCAAACTTGCCTTCTCCCCAGCATCTGCCTCACCCAAGCCTGAAGACCCAGCTTCATGAGACTTCTCCTGCATATTTTCCTTCCAATTTCTCATATGACAGCTTTATTTTATTCGTGGAATCTGCTTGAAGACTCTATGTAATCACATATATCACACCAAACCTAGCAACCAATGATGCTACTGCAGGTCCAAGATCCTAATTTTACCCACCAAGGGAATAATACAACAAGTCAAAGGGGTCGCTCTGAATGGGAAGCTCCAGTGCGGCTGTAAACTATCTCAGCTATTTGTGTCTCATCTATTCAACTCGGTCATTTGCTCTCCTGACCCAGAGAGCAGCCACACCAAGCCCTGAGTTACAGACTCTTCAGGCTCTCAACAAACTTGCATGAATAGCACAACTAAAGAAAATTAATTTTTAGAAGATATTTACCAAAATATTTTTTATGAAAGAAATAAAACGTTCTTGTCTCTGAGGCATTTGTTATTTTTCCCTGTATCAGATTAGCCCTGCATATAGAATGAAACACTGGGACATGGTCTTCCAACACATTTTAAAGCATTTAATGCTGAGTAGTCGGTCATAAGAACTGTTTACAAATTAATATTTGATTCTTTATGGTAACTTGCCTACAAGATAACTGATACCTCGAAAAGAAAACATCAGCTTACCAACAAACTTGCTGTAGAAGCAGCAACAGTTGATTAAATTATATTATAGGGAATAGTATAAAAAAATTTTTAAAAATGGCACAAATTTTACTTAGACATGTTTATCCTACCCAGTGCTGATGCTCTGCACAAAATTAATGCATATATTAATAAATTAGGGTAATTCCTCACATCTCTATAGAATCTCTTTGAGAAGGCTCCCCTTGGTAGCCACTGGAAAGTCAATTGAAATCGGTAAGTTTAACTGATTACTTAGGTATCATTTTAGGTTCTGGGAATAAAAAGACAGACTAAGATTCAGGTCCTAACAAAAAAAAGACTACTGTCCAACCAGATAAATGGTGGCAGACACTGTTGATGGCCTTCCCAAAGGCACCGCCTCCCTCTGTTGTCTGGCAGAAGCTAGGATTCTTACAAGTGCACTCAGGGAAGGTGGGCTGCTCTCTCAATTCTAGGGCGATAAGGCACATATGAGCTGAATCAATCATAGTTTTTCAGAAAGAGTTTCCTTCTCAACAAAAAGAAAGATACAAGGGGAATCACACTTTCCTGACCTTTGGACACATTTATTCGAGAAAACTAGTTGTTCAGTTGCGG